GACCTTCAAATCGAACTTATTCAAGAGTATATTAAACGATTAGCGGTCAACTTCTTTTATTCAGTACAAACCCACAGTAATAGCCTTATTAGCACTCTCAGACACTCCCCGCATCCCAATGAAAAACATCGTTATCCATGTGACATCCTACCCACATAAGAATTACAACCTTAATTGCCACATTCACGCTAAACTGACTCTGCGGTTTATCACCCGCGGCTACATCTTATAACGACACTGAACTCAACCCCCCTTTTTTTCGCCGCCGCTAGTGCGGACCTGACTCTCTTTCATCCGCCTCCCACATTCCTTTCCCCCTTCTCTTTCTCCTCCTACCCTGATTCTTATCAGAAGTCGAGTAAAAAGATGTTTCTACATCTTGACACTCGAGAATAAAATACGATCTGTGTGTGTGTGTGTGCACTGCCAAATGGGAAAAAAACTCCATCCATTTGCAAACATGGCTGGTCAGTTTCGATGAGATGCGTCGGTTTATTTAATGTTTTGTTTTTTTAAATACTAGATAGAAGACAAAGAAACCAAAAGCATAGATATATACATACATAACCCTCATGCACACACAAAAAATAGGTCAGATATATTTCCGGTAAATAATAAAGTAAAGATTGCTAGTGTTTGTATTAAGATGAATCAAATTTTTCGCACGCTTCCCAACACCAGCTCTCGGTGAATAGTTAAAGAACTGCTGTTCCGTTTCACCGGAGCGCTGATCATTGGTTTAGTAAATTGAATCGGCTCTGGAGCGGGTCGTCGATCTCTATTAGGTAGTTCCATAATAAAATAATGCCTTTGGCCTCAATCGGGGCGAAGCCTAAAATTGGCTATGCCCGCCATAAAAATATGTACAATCAAAAAATTGTCTTTTCCTGTCTCTTAAATTTGCCCTTTACTGAACATTAAATTATTCTTAAATATTTATTATTAGTCCAAAGGGGCAATTTGCCCTGAAGGACTATTAATTTCGTTTTGGCATTTTGCGTTGAAAACTTTAAAAGGTTGTATCATTTTTCAAATCGTTGCCACCATACATTATCGCCCTGTCTTATATTTAGAGAAATTAAATAATGAAGAATCTGCATAAATGTATGTATGTTCCTCACATTGTGATAAAGCAACGGTACCTGAAGCCATCAAAAACTTGAATAACATAATCTTCCATAGAATATGGGCATTTGGAATCCCTAATTTGAATTTGAAATTGGTTTTATTTTCCATTTCAGATTTTATAACACTTCAACGAATTTTTGATTAAAAACCTAAACGAGTTCAAAGCGAGCAATGGCAACACTATGCAAGGAAAAAAACATTTTTATCTCCAGCACGCGAGACTCTGTTCAGAAATTCTAAAGATATGCTCATTTTAAAATTAATTTGCGATACTGTTGTTGAACTGAATTTTATAGTTTGAATACGTAGAACATGATATTTAATTAATAAAGGTAACATACAAAACGTTATAAAAAGCCCCTTTGGACATAATTCAAAATCTGAAACCCTTCAGATTTTTTGTCTTTTTATTTTTCTTCTGTTAACTACATTCCCTCCTATCTTGTAAGTGTGCGTAATAATCTCCCACGTTAACAAATAAATTCAGCTTATGTTACGAATTTTGCATAACATACTATACACGGCTTCAAGAAAAGCGAAATTCTGCCGAAAAAATAAAACTGCAGGTGTAAATCTATTACACATTGTGGTAATTGGCGGGATAGCGACTAATTTTTGTAGCGCCAAATGTGGTGAAAGATATCTAAAAAGTGCCAAACTTGACGAGCATTGGTCAATTCCTGGGAATTACTGGCTAGGATCTGTACTTAGACAGTCTCAACCACGGGGCTATACAAACAGTCTTCACAAGACTAGAACCTCCGTTCATTCGGGAGATGATTCAGACTCGACAGCGATCGTACTGGTACTGTCTTGCCTGCACCTTAGCTGTTGGGTGTGATTCCTGAAAGGCCAAACTGCTAGTGTAGGTGTCCGTCTCTGGTAGTCTGTCTGTATAAACGTAATTAAAGCTGAAAGTTGAAATATTGGTATAGCTGCTCTATTGATGGCGTCATGTATAAATATAATTGGTACTGTAACTGAATAACTGTAATTGATCCCTATATGTAACTGCAGTCGTATATATATCTTCCTGTAATTTCGATGAATGGTACTACAGATTTCTCAACGTCCAGGGAGAACTATATAAAACCGGAGAGGAAAATGGAAAATATAGCAGCATTATCACGTGAAGAAAAGTAGCAGTCTTTGCAGACCACCTTGAAAACTAGTTTATTCCAAATGCCTCACCATGTGATGTCAAGTTCGTATACGAAGTCTGTTACTTTGCAAGAGGCTGGTTAAGTGCTTCTACTGGGAAAAACCGAACTGATTTTGTAACCTCTGACGAAATATCATCAAAAGAGTGAAAATTCGAAAAGCACCAGGTTTTGACAATATTTCTAATGCTGCAATAAAAACCTTACCAAAAAAATTTTATTTTTAAACTTACTAGCATAATTAATGAATGTCTGAATATTTCTTACTTCCCTGAAAAATGGAAATGTACGAAAATCTTCATTTTGCCTAAACCTGGTAAAGACACATCAGATGGTTAGCCAATCAGCTTATTATCAGGCTTAAGAAAACATTTTGAAAGTATCATCTCGTATAGAATGAAACCATGTTTTGAACTTCTACCACCTGAACAGTTTGGCTTGCGACAAAATCTTTCTACTATTAAAAATTAATAAGACTGGATAAGATTGCTGTCGCGGCTCTTCTTAATTGTCAAAATGTTGTCTTACTCATGCTGGACGTGGCGAATGCATTCGACTGCAAATGGCATGAGGAACTAATTTAGAAATTAATAAACCGGAATTTCTATAGAGAAATCATACTTCTAATTATGTTCTTCCTTACAAATAGAATATTTACAGTTACTATTGGTAAAGCATAATCAGATTTAAGAGAAATCCGAGTTGGGGTTCCACAGGACTTGTTCGTTGGCGCTATCACTTACCTCTTTTAGGTGATACACTTTTCCAAACCAGTAAATTATTTAAATTATTTTGTGGTCTGTCATGCCGATGATACCGCTGTGGCAGTTAGCAAACGCAAACCATGCGATCCGAAACCTCCAAGAGTTAATGCCAATGACTGAAGACTGGTGCACAAAACTGAGAATATCCATCAATCTTAGGTGTTAATTATTCGTAAAAAGCACATGAATATTTTACCTAAGGAAAATCTGACATTTTTGATGAAATTATTCCAAAAGTTCGCAAAGCCAAACGTCTTGGTATTACTTTTAACAGCAAATTTTATTGGAAATATCACATCGAAAATGCTAAGAATAAAGCACCAAAAGTTTTTTTTTTTTTTTTCAATGGCAGATTGTGAAATAATTGCAAATGTAACCGAGTTCATTAATCTATACAAGGCCGGATGTGGTGGTCTCTTTATTATGGAGGCACTTAATAGGTGGGCCACCATCGCCTTTCCTATGAAGGGAGGGACAACCATGCCTTCTCCGGGATTCGAACCCAGGCCATTCGACATTGCAGTCAGCTTCCCTGACCACCATACCGACTAGGCGGCTAAGCACCAAAAGTTATCAACTGCTTTTTTTTTTCAATTATTAGCATTTATACCAAATTAGATTTAAGAAAGAAACGTCTCCTTTATATCTCAGTTGTGCCAATCCTTAACTATGCTTCACTGACTAGAACTACTCGTAATAAAAATTACCTGTTCAAACTCCTACAAGTGCAAAATAAATATCTGCGCATCATTTACTAACGCACAGTTTTATTTGCAAAATCAAAGATTGCATGAGGACCTCAGCATTGAAAGCATTGATAGGTTTCTAAACAAAATCAATAGAAATTTCTACAAAAAAGCTACTATGTGTAACCATCTCATGAATTTTAACTTGTTTCAATAAGAAATTCTACAAGAGGATAAAGAATTACGTCTTTGTGCTGCACATCTTTGATGATATTAAATATGCTCTTCTGTATTTGTATATATTGCATATAGTTATTTTTCTGTCGCTATTTCAATTTTCTATTCGTATTTTGTGTAACTATTTTCATCTCTACTATGACTTTAATCCCGTATTCCAATCCATTAGGACTCTAGCCTGATCTCTCAAACCTAGGAGAAAATGTTCTTCTCTGTTCCACATTTATTAATTTTCTCTTCTGAGAATCTCACTTAATGTACTTTTACGTGAAGTGCTATTAGGGCAACAATTTTTTTAGAGCCAGACAGATTGCGAAATTCTCAATATCGCAGCATGATGTTATCGATACTGATACCGATACTTCTCAGTTTTTAATTCAGAGCTGACTTCGAAGTATTGAGAGATCCCTATGTAAGTTTCGTTATTTGGGTGAGCTTTGCATTGCTCTGCTTTTTATCAGTATTAGTAGTTTGAAGTGAAAACTGCTGATTGGGCTCTTTTCTACTGAGAAGAGCTGTACGAGTACTTTTGTGAAAAGTTTTCAAACTGTAAAGTGGCCTTTTTTGACAAAATAAATGTTATCAAGCTGGCATCGGTCTGTGCGCATTAAATCCATTACGAACTCGCACGCATGCAAGAATATTTTACTTATTTATTTACTTTTGTCAACTAATGAATTTCCTTCTATCTTTCAAATGCCATAACAATCACGTACGTCAAGTCTTAAAATTCAGATCACTTAAATCTCAATTTTTAGCTGTCCTATCTTAGGTTAACTTCCTAAAAGATGTTACGCAGATTTTTTATACTTGGATCTACCCCTTATTTTTTTCATTTCTCAGCCTATTTAGTACTTTGAGGTATCTAACTAGATCCACCCTCTGTACGTTTTTGCACTTGCCTTTTCATTCTTAATAATTATAGTGTTTCATTTTATTTCAGGTCTGTTAAATTCCTATCAATTATTAATTCCCTTCCTTGTGAACGTTCTTTCTACGGACACAGTTCTACGGGCAGAATGATTACGGAGAGTTAAATACGTTAAATCATTGGATTATTCCTATGGATAAGGTTTTGTATTTAGTTATGACCAAAGATTGAAAGTAGTACAAATTGTAATTGAAGAGTTAATTTTCACATTTTTTTTAACTGAAACGTAAGTAATATCTGAAGTGATAGAACGTATTATTTTCACATATCAGTTTAACATCAATAATTTAAAGTCTTTTCGATATAGAAACGTCAATATTTACATCATAACAGAGACTTTTTTTCTCTACTAGAAGTGCGGTTCGCATGGTAGCAAACAGTAATTGTATTCCTTTTGAAGTACCATACCTACATGAAACAAATTACATAACATGCATTTTTTGAATAAATGGTGATTGTATTTCTTTTTCAATTAAATTTTATGTAAGGCAGTTTATGCCATTAACTACCACGGTAATATGACTCTCGGGAAAAATAAGGACAAGTATATTTAACACGCTGCATTGATAAACTATATAACCTCAGATTTATAGAATGGCACTATGATTATGTTTAATTGTTACTTGCATTCGAAGAAAGAAAAACCTATCTGAGGTTCCAATTTTCAATTAATTAATTAGCTAAGTAATATACGTTTAGTTACGTTATCGCCCTTGTTTAGAAAAATTGAACAAACTTTATGATAATTTGTGTTAATTTGACATTCTAAATGATTTTTGTAGTATGTCTTATACTCTCTCCACAGAGTTCTGTGATACATCTTACTTTCTTTAGAACTAGGAATAAAGAAGAACAACTAGTTCTTTTTAAAGTTATTGCTTTATTTTTCACTCGGAATTTTTATGTTGTTGTTAAGATTGCCACGCCTTCTTTCTTTTTTCAGTTTCCTTATTTGACAGTTATAATTAAAATAGATGGAGAAGGTGATAATCAGAAGAAAATGCTTTGCTTCCTAACAATTTCAGTACTTGTGTTATCACAACCACCTTAGTAGAAATCACCGTAGCTCTAGAATACACTGAACTCTGTTAACCATGTGCATAACCATTGTTCAGGCAACGTGTGCATGATAGATATTCAGATTCCAGTCTCACCATTTTTCTGTGCATTCTTTTTGTTGTATTCTAAGTTCCAATGGCTTTTATAGAAAAACTAATTATTTTTTTGTCTTGAACTCAGTGTTAAAATTTGTGCTTCCTCTAGTAGAAGAAAGAGAGGTGAAATTTCTCTAGAAATACATTATTTTTCAGCAAAATTGCTGAAGGAACTATTCAAATTATTTCTCAAAACAATCACTATGAAATTTCCACAACAAATGCAAAAACCCGTTTGTAACTAAGTTTACTAATTGTCTTTTAGAATAAATATGTTATAGTTGAAATGTAAAATATGTATGTATGTAATATATAATTTTGGTAAAATGCTAGTATATGGTACGGTCCTGGCACGATTTTGAAAATTGTCGCTAACACCAAAATGACCTATTTATTGCTCATCATAAATGTTGCATTTACTGCTCATAATAATGTCACCAAATCCTGTGTGCCATATACTAGGATTAAACCAAAATTTTTTATGGTAAAAGTAATTGTTTTTTTTCTTCCAGGAAATTCACCAAACTATGCTAAGGTGGTTATGATAATACATAAGTACCAAAATTTCATATTGTATGGAACATGTATGTTAACCTTCTGAGAGAAAAAGCTTTTTGTTTCTGCACGTGAAGAATTCCTTTAAACAGCATTCATTAGCTAAATGTGTGTAATTGTTTATTTTAGTCTCTGTTTCCATTAACTTCCATGTATTAAAAAGATATTTACATTATTAAAGAAAATTAGGGAACTACTCTGATATGCGCCCTCAAGTCGCCAAATTTCTCGCCAAATATTTTTGGTGAGAAACTTCACGCTGCCATATTACTATCTAAATTTTTTGTCTACATTTTGAACTTTTAGCCTAAAATGTCTCCAAAAACGCGGTTTTCGCACATGTAAAAACTACGTTTTGAACACACAATTTAGCTAAAAATTCGAAACAAAAACAAAAAATTTAGATAGCAAAAATGTAAAGTTTCTAACCAAAAATATTTGACAAGAATCCATGTACACAGCGACATGTTCTAACTTAAAAAAAAACATCTAGGAATTGCACAATGTAGGCAACGAACAAATCTACAAACTACGCACACCTCGCTTTAATAAAATAACATAACAACAATAAATTTCAAATAATACCATGTACACAGCGTTCTGTTTGAACTTTAAAAAACATCTACGAATTGTACAGTCTAGACACTAAACTAAAAATAAATTTCAAACAATTTAAAAAAACAACGGTTAATCTTTGGATTATGGTAACTTGGCAATTTTTTGGCGACCAACCCTGCTACAGCAACCTGCTAGTTTTTGTTTGGACGCCATTTTGTTTTCACGAAGTAAAGGCATGTATTTTTTTTTTACACTCAACATTTTTTCCAACAATCTGCTAGCCGAATTATGCTTATATGCTAGAACTTTTATGGAATAAAAGTGCTTAATCATGACGAAGATTAGGTGCGAAATTAGGAGAAAGTGCAGAATCGCAAACTGCTTGCCGCGTTTTTAAGAATTGCACAGACACGGTAACCATGTACACATCGACCTATTTTCACTTAAAAAAAAATCCCAGAATTGAACAAAAATTAGCATTGCGCACACTCTTGACTTTATCCATGTACACTGCTAAAGTCCTAGCTAGTAACCTTTATCGCCTTACCAAAATGTCACCAAACTACCTGTTACCATATTCCAAAGATTAGCCAAAACAACAATAACGACAGAAATTCATACTAAAGAACCAATGAACATAACATTCTACAAAATAAGAACAAGGATAAAATAAAATGCACTTACCATGAATTAATGCGTTTTCGAATAGCAGAAATATAAATTTCATACCGCCTTTAACATGCCGCCACGTAATCACTATCGTATTTACATGACAGCCAGACACACTATCCAGAAAATTTATACTATGGTTCACAAATAAATAAAATCACAAATCCCTACTTCTATCATGCACTGCCATTAAAAATAATCTCCCAAACCCTCTTTCCACACTTCCAAATACCCACTACCCCTCAACAGGATAGCCACAATCATATTTCCTTTTGCCGAACTTCAATTCAACAACTACCATTTTATCTTTCCCTCCCATCTTCTCAGACACAGAGGCAAACCAACAAGCTCCAGCGAAAGATTTTTCAACGTCAACAGGGTTGCCATAGAACACGCAGTCGTGCCAAAAACCAGCGCAGAACACATATCGCCACATTTGGTGAAATTAGGGCGTATATTAGAGTTGTACCAAAATTAGAAAAAACAAAATATTTTAAATTATAAGCTAATATATGTTATTAACTTATTTTGAAATAGGAGACGTAAAAAATGAGCAATGTTCTCGCCAGGACTCGAACCTGGACCTCTCGAATACACACCAAGGGTTCTAACCCTTACAACACAAAAGCATGCAGAAAGAAGGGAGTCCTTTTAAAGGACAACTGGTGATTAGGGGATCATATCCTGGTGGTGACGAATCAGCATCCACCACCTTTTAGTTTAGGCAGTATAGAGTCATTAGGTTATTTTGAATCAGGAGACGTGAAAATGAGCAATGCCCTCAACGAGACAGAAACCTGGACCTCTCGAATACTTGCCGAGTGTGCTAACTGTAACACCACAAAGGCATGCAGAAAGGAAGGGGGAAATACCATATAATGTGGGCATGGCCTGTTATGACCATGAGACCAACTTGTTTAGTTAGATGGGTCGGCCTACACCCACTTCTGATACCTTATAAAGTGACGAGAAGAATCTCTTGACTGGATAAAAGTAGTCATGCCACTCAGAGTTAAATTTTCAGATATTAAATTTGTCTTTTAAAATCATGAATTAACCTGTTAGAATAAGTATTAACATAGCTCTGTGATACTTATGTATTATCCTGTGGATCCTGAAAGTTAGTTGCTATTGAATCATAAAAATTAATCTGCCATTGTTGCACCAAAATTCCAGTAGAATTCTAAACAAACTTACCCCTCTTTAAAATAACAATGTACCAAAATCCGTCCCATCATTCTAATTCACCAAATCACGCAACCAATTATGTCATATAATAGGGTTTCCATAGCATTCAACTACTCAGGTTACCATAAATGAAAAATAGCAATAATTGAAACAGCAACTTGGTGATAATCCAAGGGGCACCCTTCAATCTACTCAAACCCTGTTATTTTCTTACAGCATTAAAAGTTAAATTATATCCTTGTTCATTACAAAAGGTAAATTATAAAGAATTAATTGGAATTGCATCAAATGAAAGTGCAAATGTTACGATTGTGTTGTTATATATCACTCTTATCTATAAATGGTTCCTAAGTTGTTTCTTGGTGACAGTTTTATGGTCATTGGAATAATTCATATGTATTGATCCTACTTATGAGAAAATGTACTCCTTAATTTTTAATTCAGTAAAAATTGTCCAAAAAAACATAAAGAATGCTCAAGGAAATGCAATATTTTAAGCAGTTATATTCAATGAAGAATATAGTAGTATTTTAAATATGAAATATAGTAAAATTTCATATCTAAACTATACACTGAGGGGCAAATTCTTATTGTTAAACATATATGAAACATGATGAAAATCCTTTTCTATATATTTTTTAATTCATGTTATGTTTTTCTTTCATATTAATAGCATATAACCTGTAGCATCCCTTAATGAAAGGAATAAAACTTTGGTCATTAGGTAAACTATAAGGTATTTTCTCCCACCTTCCAGCATGCCTTCGTGGTGTAACAGTTAACACACTGGGCGTATATTCGAGATGTCCAGATTTGGGTTCTGTCGAGGGGCATTGCTCATTTTTCACATCTCTTGCTTCAAAATAACCTAATGACTTTACAGTGGTACCTGAACTAATAAAAGGTAGTGGATGATGATTCTTTACCATCAGTATTTGGCAACTGAGTTCCCTAATCCCCAGTAATAAAAGTGGTGTACAGTACAAAGTCCGTAATCCGGAATGATCTATAGTCCAGATCTCAAAGCAACAAACTTACGCATGCAATGCGCGCATCCGCTACACGTGCGCATAAAGCCAGTAAAGCGTTTACGCTTCCAATAGTGAAGAAAGTGACAGAGAGGTTATTGAAAAGGAAAAATGTCGGTATTCTCGACATAGCAATTACAGGATTTGAAGGTAAAAGTGTAGTTTAGGGTACCTTTTGGCGGTACATGGATACCGATTTTGTCCAATTCTTTGGCTCATTATTTTGGCTTGCGAAGTGGCGATTTTTGTACCAAAAATTGCGGCTACACAAAGCCAAAATAATAAGACAAATGATTGTACAAACTCGGTATCCATGTACACATCACCTTATTTTCACTTTAAAAAAAATTCCAAGTTGCACAAAATTGGCATTGCGTACTCCTTTGACTTTATCCATGTACACGTCGACCTATTTTCACTTTAAAAAAATCCCCGAATTGCACAAAAATGGCATTGCTCACTCTTTTAACTTTATCTATATACACGTCGACGTAGTTTCACTTTAAAAAATTCCCAGAATTGCACAAACTTACATTGGGCACTCCCTTTACTTTGTCCATGTACACAATGATATATCTTCACTTAAACAGTCAAAGGAGCACCAAATTCTACAATATAGGCAAACAAAAAATACATAATCTCAATAAAATACATTTTAAACCAAACAATAAAATAACATAAAAAAAGGAAAAACATGTTATACATTTAAGCACTACCAAAAGCAAATATTCACTTACCGTGATTTTCAAGTTCACTTCGTACACCCAGAGCCACGTAAAAATCAAAATATCAATCATACTCAAATGACTTTTTTTCAAACCAGGTACTCTTTCTGATCGAACGCTTCACATAGTGACCAACTGAACCTTTCTTCCTACAAACCCATTCAAATCCATCTAAGCGTTTTTTACGTTTGACTAGACGCATATCCTTCCTGCATACAGGTTACTTATAATGGCTACTAAGTAAACCTTCATTTACACACCAGTCAATTAAAGCTCTTTTTTCGCTCCAAATCGTACAGAAACTTCAAATTACAAATTAATCTTACTACAATCGGCCATTCTACTGTCTAAAGAATCAAACCAACACACACCACAAAAACGCTTACAAAACATCCCATGATTCAAAATTTCTCAGAATCATGCACCTGATTACGTCACAATAGGGTTTCCATAACATTCAACTGCTCAAGCTACCATAAATGAAGCAACAACTTGGCAATAAATGAAACAACAGCTTCGCCATAATACAAGGGGTACCTTACAGTCTACTCTACCCGATTTGAACAGTGAAACTTTTTAACTGAACAAGAAATTATGTATGTTTATAGAAGAGAGAATTAAAGAGAAAGTATTAGCACAAAAAACGAAGCAACTTAAACAACTTACATTGAAAGAAATGTTTAATAAAGTAAACAAATAAATATTAAGCTTTTTTTTTTTTTTTGTAAATTTTGATACCCTTTATATCATAATTGCTCTTTATTTCATAAATTACGGTTTTATATTTTTAATTGTATAATTTCTGCATGCCATCTTACCAGATTTAAATTGATGATCTATAATCCGGAATCACCGAAGTCCCGATGAGTCCGTATTACAGACTTTGTACTGTATAAGGTATTTTCTCCTTTCTTTCTCCATGCCTTCGTGGTGTAATGGTTAGCTCATTCAGCATGCATTTGAGAGGTCCAGGTTTGAGTACCTGTGAGGGCATTGCTCATTTTTCATGTCTCTTGCTGCAAAATAATTTAATGTCTCTACAGTGGCACCAGAACTAAAAAAAGAAGAAAAAATCCTAATGACTCTACAAAACCACATGATGACTTTCTTTGACCAAATGTATATAATAAATAAAACACTAAAACGGAATATGAAGATTAAGATCTCGCAACAAAGAAAAGACTTCATTTTCCACTTTCTTCAAATTGTAGTAATTCAAATCAACTGATTATAAAATTCTTTTCCAGAATAAAAAAAAAAGAAAAGAAAAGCAGCTAAGTTTAACTATATGATTAGGTAATTTAAAATATTCAATTTAAAAATATAATGTTTATTAAAGTTTTAGAAAGATAGCATTTTTAAAACTTCTAATAGTTTTGATAAAATTCATATACTTTGTTGTTATTGGAGGTAAAACTAGTTAAATGTTAATGTTAAGTTATTAAAACCAGTTAAATGTTTGAAAAATAAATAATTTAGGCATTAAAGGTGTAGCAGATGCTCCTTAAAGCAGAAAAATCTAATTTTTGATTATCTCACATATATGAAGGAATATTTAAAACCGAATTGGCGATCTAAGCTTTGTTTTGTTAAATTCTAAATAAAGTGTATTAGAAAACTATGCAATGTTTAAATTTGTACGTTTTTATAAAATAACTAATGACCTTCACACCTTTAATATCAATACAATATGTTTAAATTACATTATGTTCTGTGATACTACTTTACTTTCTGTGTTTTTTATAAATAGTAATTAACGTCTTTTATTTTATTTTCAGCTACTCACATGGCTAAGCCAAAAACTTCGTATGTATTTTTTTATTATAATTGTTCTTTTTAATTCTTTTGTGACAAGCAGCTTAAGTTTGAATTTATTGACTCATTTCTGTTTTTAAGGCATGTTTATGTAATCCTAAAGAGTATAGCCAGCCATCACAAGTTTCCATACATTAGACCAAGAAATGGAGAAAAGCTGGAAATGACAAAATTTGATCCTCATGGTAAAATCAGACTTCCCTTTCATAATGATTTACAGTGTCTCACAAAAATGACTAAGCACTTTTAAATTCCAGAAGTAATATAAAAATGTTTAAATGCATGAAAGTGAAAAATATTATATTTATAATTAATTTCTTATTATGACATCCCCTAGATGAAGTATAAATATTCCTAAACAACTGTCAGCTGTAACCATAATCACTTCTCCCATTCATGATAAGAGCTCTGAATAAAAATGCTACTTTAAGCTATTAATAACTGTGATATGAAGTTGTTAGCTAAGGAGTTACAAAAATTACAGATTTCACACTGATTATATGTAGGTTGGCACCATTTTAAAATGTAGTGGCTGTAATACTGAGGAGATATGATAAAATTTTCTTCCTAAAGCAGAAAACTCATGTCAGCAAAATCTTTGGACACTACTAAAACTGTAAATAAAATCATCTGTAGCAAATATAATATGTCAGTCAGTGACATTATTTAACATTATAGCAATAGGTCTGAATAGCATCTGAAAAATTGCATATTTGAATTTTTTAATTTTTCATAAAATTTGTGTTATTTCAATATTTTATTATCATGCTTCCAAAAAGTGTGATTAGAAATTTAAAAATTTGTTGCAAGTTTGCTGGAAAAGACAAAACCTATTAGAAAGTTGCTAAAATGATAAAAGCATGTAATAGTTCTTGGTACATAAAAATATCTTTCTAAGCATGATAGAATTAATTCTAAATGAAATCATCTCTCATGGGCCTCCTTGAAATACTATCACAGTTGTCTTATGGAATACAACAAAATGTTGTCAAAAATAATTAAAACCTGGATGTTTCTAAACTTGGAGCATAACTTTATTAATCATATAGTGTTCATTAAAATAAGGAAATTTTTAATATAATTATCAAATTCATTTGATAAATGGTTAAGTGACAAGTTAAAAAAAATTATGTGAATAAGAGAATGGAAAACTTCATTCTTTTTTTAAATTTATAAGAAATAAAAAATTCTGAATGCTAGAATGAGGTAATTTTTGTTGAAAAAACTAATTTAATATTTGTGTTTAAAATGGTGACTTTTTAGTGCACGGATAGGCCTCAAAGTATTTTTTTCCCCTGTATTTAATTTCAAAATAGAAGATAGCAAAAATTATATATAAATGATATCTTTCTTTAAAACTAGTCTTAAATATATTATTGTAATTACAGACTAGTACAAATACAGTAAAGGTTTGACTATCAAGAAAGCTCTTTGAAATAGTGCATATGTAAAAATTCCGGATAGATACGTGTATAAAAAGTGCAATTCATGGTGGGAAAGCCAAAGAAATGAAAGAAATTTCATCTCTAAAACTATTTTAAAAAATTCACTTTATCAAAAAGTCTTCATTTAAAATTGCATAATATAAAAAAAAAATTTGCATTTCAGACATAAATGCTGATGTATTATTTTAGGTATAAATCTAAAATATCTTAAGCCATGGATGGGCAAACATTTTCAGCCATGGGCCAAAAACCGAAAAAAAAAAAAAAATGTTTGGCGGGCCAAGATAAATTTTTCTAAAATTTTAAAAGCAATGTACAAGTATTGTAATTTAAATATGTTAATGAGATGAATGAAACTGCGATTTCCGTTTTAAAAGTTCCTTATATTGAGGTTCGAAGTGATGTGTACTGATTCTGAGGAACGAGGCTAAATGCACATCTGTCTGTCTACTTCTGAAATAAGACTTTCTAAGATTGATAGTAGAAAACACTTGTTCCCATATACCTATAAGATGAAGCAAACGTAGCTCTGATTTTCTGGGCATGAGATATTAAATTTGGGAAACTTACTTTTGATAATGAACTTTACTAATTGATAATGATTTGTAAAACTCTCGTACTCGAACTTTACTAATCGATGATGATTTGTAAAACTGTAACTTTGGCATATTTAGAAACAACTGCTTGAGATGATTGTTAGATTGCAACTCAATTCAAGCTGCAAATCTGACCTGACTGCTTCACAATTTACGTTGAAAGGCATGGTAAAAATATCCAATTCTATTTGAATGGCACTGTCTTGAAATCTTCATTTGAACTCAAAATGCAGTTTTTTTTTTTCAAGTCATCTTCATAAGTCTTAAGTTTCTCTTCATTTACTGAGGGTATTGAATTTAATCTCGGGGAAATGAGACAAGTCGTTCTTATCTAGCAACCCAGCAAACAGATTAAGTTTTCAGTTTTTTCTAAGAAGTCTAATTCACCTATATTGGATTCCCATATATCTGCTTCCCGAGAAAGAGATAATGCTTGTTGGTGCCAATCTGCAGTTATAACTGATAAAGAACTTCTGCTTTTAAAACTTTACCAATTGAAAGCTGTCTGTACAAGTACAGACAGTTATTTCCGTCAGTTTATATTTTGTAGAACAAAAATAGAGAAAGTAAAAAGATCATCAGTCCTTTGAGAAAAGGGAAGGGAGAAAAACAATATTTAAACAAAGTAGAAAAGAAGATGTATGTATAATATATAAATATATATTCCTTTTAATTTGCCTCGAACCAGCAAATTAAAATTTTATCCGCGGGCCAGATAGAACCTTCCGGAGGACTGTAATTGGCCTATCCCTGTCTTAAGCAATTCAGAAATCTCACCAGACATGAAATTTGATGGTGAGCCTGCTGAACCATGCACTAACTATGCTGTCTGAAGTTTGATCAACAATATTGGCAGATTGCTCTTTGTTTAATTAGATAACCAGCAGGAGCAGGCAGTTATGGATATAGACTATAAAAACTCAAATCCTAGTTTATGACATTGCATTGCCATTGTTTATCCATTTTCAAATAAAATTGCATATCATGCCCATTAATGCAGTTTTCCTCGATGGCAGGGTTCCGTAACTTTGAAAAGACTCTACTGCATACTACTCCATGAAAGGCAGATCTCAAATTTTAATGTTTAAAAAAATATGACAGTGTTGCCATGCTACCTGGAAAACCTGAAATACCAAGAAAAGTCAGGGAATTTAAATATTTTAGTCAAAATCTGGAAAAGTCTGGGAATTTCAAATTCCGATCTCCCAAAAAAGCAACTTTTACGCTAACGTAGGAGGCGATCACGTTCTTGGAGAATTATGTATTGTGTGAGTATCATAGAGCCAGTTTTTGAAGCTCCAATGAAATTGTCTTTTAGAAAGGCAAAGCAAGTTTCCAGCAACATTCGGTAACCTCGGGATCGAGAAATTCACATGATCAAAGAAAATACCTTCGTATTCTTGTATAAAACAAAATCGGTTTAATCCTAACAGACACTATGCATCAGATTTGGCGACATTATGATTAGCAGTAAATGGGACATTTTGGTGTTGCTGACAATTTTTAAAATCGTACCAAGGTCAAATCGTACTGTATACTAGGATTTTACCACAAAATCTTTTAAATCTTTTTCTTTTTCCTTTTTAATAAATGCCTTATTTGTTATTTGTAATTTTGCAGTAAAATAAAAAAACAGTGATCAGTCATCTAGGCTTTAATTATATTCGCCAAAATATTATTGATTATTGTAATTTAGTTTTAAATCTTTAAGTAGTTAACTTTATTTTAATGTTATTCATATAATTTAATGTGGCTTCTTCGTTCTAAGTTTATTTATTATTAGTTAATAATACTTTAAAATTCCAGGCAATTTTCTCTGGCATACTCCTGAAACTAATTCTAGCAGTATGGTGAAATGTGCATCATGAAATTTAATGCACATATTTTTTGCTTATGTGTGCTGCTAAATAAATATAAAATACCTGAATTTATTTTAAAATATTAAATAGATTTCTTTCTTTCTTTCAGTTGCAAAACGTCTGCAAAAAAAAAAAAAAAAAAAAATCTTTTTAATCCAGATTGGGCAGATTCTAATCTCAATCTTCAGTGGAGAAAACAACTCCTATTGTAGTTATAATAGTAATTCTTTGGGGAATATATATAAAAGTCATATGTAATTGGCAATTTTTGTGTTTTTAAGTGGTACTATAATTAATTTACCTCTCAGCACAGCTAAGACACACGGACTGGAATTTTCTTAATACAGTACAAAGTCCATAATTCAGACTCATCGGGACTTCGACGATTCCGAATTAGGAGCTTTTCCGGATTGTAGATCATCAATTTAAATCTGGTAAGATGGCATGTAGGAATTATGCTATTAAAAATATGAAACCGTAATTTATGAAATAAAAAGCAATTTTGATCTAAAGGGTGTCAAATTTTACACAAAAAAAAGCTTAATATTTATTTGTTTACTTCATTAAACATTTCTTTCAACACGCGCATACGTGTGTAATGTATGCGCATTCTTTGCGCGCATGCGTAATGTATAGACATTCTCTATGCACATGCGTAAAGTTTGTGGCTTTGAGGTCCGGATTATAGATTCCGGATAATGGATGTCCGGATTAGGGACTTTGTACTGTACACACCTGGAAAAGTCAAGAAATTTCATTCTTCTGTTTGAGCGGCAACCCTGATATGAGGGAAATATAAACAAATAAAACTAACATCATTTTAAGAAGAAATCAATAAATATTTTCCCTCATGAAATTTATTTTAAGAACAGGAGCAGCTTAAGCAAAAATTCATTTGCAAGTCATCATCTTAAGACAACTAACTATAAACCAGACTTAACTAAATTGAATCACAAGTTCAGCATCAGGGGAGCCACTGATATCGAAGAGAAAAGTAAAGTTCATTCAGTTATGTTTGTTTATATAATAGTTAGAATTATAATTTTTATGTTTAAAGCATATTGTAAGCATTTTCTCAATGACATTTATCTTGTTATTGACCAAAAGACTGTTTTTATGTGAAAGTAACACTGACCTCCAAATGTCTTACATACATTGTAAAATGTAATACATTAAATACATTGTCAATACATTGTCATACATTGTCAATAATTACATACATTGTCAAATGTAATACATACATTTTGGTTGATTTTGACCCCCTTAATATATGTATTTGGTTTAT